CAGGCGAGTAAGAGAGGTGCCACAGTCGGAAAAAAGTGTTAGTTTGTTTACTTAAATGAACCATGCCCATTTTGTTATGGCAAGTTTGCTATATGAAATGCTCCTCGTGTTTATTAGCGAAATTCACATCAAAGATTGATTAATTGAGTAGGAAATCAGTTTGGCACGGCATTTGTGACCAGCATACACCTTCCGGTCGTACGAAACAGGTCAAAACAGTTCAAATCCGCAGATAAAAATGTTTGTTTTGAATTTCTGTATGGCAAAATAGTGAACTTTTCGTGAACATTAACGGCAAAGAACTCACCAACACTGTGAGACCGTGAGTTCCTGCCCACCTGTCATTTCCCATCTTGATGCAGCCTGGTGTGCTCTCACATTTCCCTTTGATGCGTTATGATCTCGATCCTACGAGATCTTTTGTTCGATTGATGCAATGGTCCAGGCATTTGTTCACGCGAGTTTTGTGTGTTCGAAAATGAATAAAAAAAACTCGTTCGAACATTGAACTTGGCCTTTAGTGGATCGGAGTCAAGATGGGAACATATGTCGAATATAGATGACGGTTATAGTTTCTATACCGGTTGCTGGCTTTAGGAAAGTTGCGTTTGGTGATCACATCTCGCGCACGAGAGTATTTCTTCAAAGCAGCAGAACGCTTGCGTTTAAGCCGTTGAAGCCGTGCATTTGACCAAACTGGCCTAAGCTTTGGTCTGGGTCGAGGGACATATTCACGAAGAAATGATGTCAGTGTTTGGTTGAAAAGTGAAACAGCCACATTCACGTCAGCAACATCCAGAAATGATCAATCTGTGGTCCGTAAAGCATCACTCAAGCCAGCATAATCAGCACGATATAAGTCGAACTCCCTTTCCTCAGGTATGTCATTGTACCGAACCAGAGGCGGACAGCCAAGGTTGACCAAAACTGGAGGATGGAACGGGTCAGCATCAATAAGAGCTTCAGGTGTTTCAATTACATCACAGTGTTTAACTGCATCGGAATTAGCAAATATCAAGTCCAAGGTTCGGTTCAGGTAATTCACAGTAGGGTTTATCTGCTTCATGTCGAGTAACGCCATTCCATCCACGAGTGGAGCACTTGCAGCAGTAAACGTAGAGCCCACAGAGGCAATGTAATCCTGTCCAGTAGCTGACAGCGTCCAACAAAGGCCAGGCTGGTTGTAATCGCCAAACAGCAGGTGAAAGTCTTGATGTTGCAGTTCCTCAGACATGGCTAACGCGGATCCGATATGTTTATCAATGTAGGCCGCAGATGTAGAATAATCAGGAGGGATGTATACGACACCTAGGCAGATTGTCCTAGAGCCTCCATTCACATTAACCCAGAGCTGTTCTATGCCGCTGTCATCTTCGATTACAGATTTTGATGAACTGTACCGTTTTGAGATAGCAATCAACACACCCCACCTCTCTCTCTGCCCGTTCTATTACGATCACGGTCATTGCGGTACACATTGTATCCATTTCCGAACAGCTGCGATGAATGAAACTGATCGTTTAACCAAGTCTCGGTGAAAAACAGAACGTCCATTACCGGATCGCAAACCGAGGTAATTGATTATATTGTCTACTACTCAGGCAAAATCCGATACTCCTATAGCAACTTAGAATTCTTAGCTCAAATTATCCATAAAGAATTAGGTATGAATAAAATTTAAATTGAGATCTTCTTTCGAATCAACAACGATTTGGGAAGTCAACGTATCGCATCATAATTCTATATGCCCTTCTGTTATTTATACCTAAACCATTAACATTATATACCTACCACTTCATTCTACCTATGAGCACTATAAAACTAAGGTTGATTTCATACAAGCAGCAGTCAATCTGATAACGAAAGTTATGAAGACAAGTTGTAGTAAAATTATTATCATGGACCAAAGTAGTAAATTAAGGCTCAAAGGATTGAAATGTTGTGCAAATATAAATAATCCGAGATGCAACCGAAATAAGTTACGGGCCATATCGTCAACGATGGTAGAAAAAATACATTCTATGGGATATAACCATGAAATTGATTAAACGATGAGCATTTGTTAGTCATGCCGTAGCCGTAGAAGTCCAGTTATGAAAACAACGCCGATCGGTTGGAAATGAAGTAAATATCCAACCGTCAACTAGTGGGCAGCAGCATAGTGATGATCAAGGTCCATCAATCCGTAGATGAGCTAGGTAAGAACAGTCATCCTGATGATTCTATCAACTTTTAACTGCAACCTTCTAATTGCACTTATTAATTATTGTTTCTTCTTCTTTCCTTCAGATACGGTACCATCGGTTCCATCAGCAGATGATCTGCAACGCCCATACAATGTTGAGAAGTTTAATGGCTTTGTGGAAACGTTGAATTTATCTCCAATTTCATCGAGGAACATGAGGAGCATGGATTATCGTTCAATAAAATCTCTAGAAATTACACAAGCAGTGCGAAAAAATATATTTGGCCTAGATACAGCAGACATTAGCAAAGTAGAGGCATACGAAGAAATGATTGTGCAGCTGAAGGAGAAGCTCATTCCCCTACAGCTGACAGAAAAGATCAGATAACAGTATTATCAGTATTGCCAAAGTCTTGGTCCGTGAATAAAGTTGTAGCAGAATTCAACGCACCAACGTACATGGTGAGGCAGGTGAAGAGCCTTGTTAATGAGCAGGGTATTCTAAGCACACCCAACAAAAGAAATGGGCATGGGATCAACGATGATACAAAAAAACTAGTTAGGGAATTTTTTGATGACAATGATATTAGTAGACCTATGCCCGGAACAAATGAACACGTTCAAAAACGCCTGTTAATGATGTCCCTCAAAGAAGCGTACATGATTTTTGTTGATAAATATAAAGATATTAATATTGGTTTCACTGTATTTACACAATTGCGACCAAAACATTGCATTTTGCTTGATTCTACTGGTATACATAATGTATGTATTTGTACAATTCATGAAAATGTTAAATTAATGATCAACAGTTTAAGAATTATGTCACAAGATGCAATAATAGAAAAAAAATGCTTTGTAATATTTCTACTGATGCTTTTTCAGTGCTTGCGAAAAGTGTGCTTCCAATGAACATATTGAAGAGGAACTTACTTTGCTATTAAAATCAAATGACAAACATGATGTTGTGTTTCAACAGTGGCTGAATACTGATCGTTGTAATTTGGAAACGATTATCAAGCCTTTTGATGAATTTGTTCCGTATCTCATTGATAACAAACTTATAACTCATGACTTTATTTACAAACAACAGTCATCTTTTCTAACAAATAAAAAAGAATCATTAAAACAAGGTGAAATTCTAGCAATTTGTGATTATTCTGAAAACTATTCATTCATTATCCAAAACGCTGCTCAAGGATATCACTGGAATAATTCTCAAGCAACAATACATCCATTTGAAGTTTATTATAAGAAAGACAATAAACTTGAAAATGTTAGCTTCATTATCATATCAGAAGTAATGACTCACGATACAGTTGCAGTTCAGTTGTTCATCTAAAAAATGATAGGTTTTAAAACATTGAAAATATATAAATAAATGATAAATGAAAAATCTTGTCTTTTCTCTCTCACATATTATCAAATTTTGCATCAATAGTAGACAACAAAATAAGGGAATGATATTTTTTTTACAAGGTCTACATGTCCAAATAGTATTATTGAGCTCTGAGAGGGTGCTGCCAATTCCAAATACGATTTGGCAAGAAATGCATCATGAGCCCTTTTCATATGAAATTTTCGATTAATCAAAGTGAACTTAAGTGCTGATTAGACAAAATTGAATCGCAAATTGAGCTTCATTGGATTCTGAGATGATTTTGAGCTTCACTGGTTTAGTTTTGTGTGAAATTGGCAAATCAAAAAAAAATCAGTTCAGACATGAAAGAGTTTTTGTAAGAAAACCTTTTTTTCCTTAAAAGTGCCCATCTCGCGATGTATGGACGGATGGTAGTAAACATAATTACCTATCTTGAGGAAAAAAAATTCATCCAAATCAAACATGGCATTTTTTGTTATAAATCGACTTTAAATTTTAAAAATCAATTTTTTTTCAGTGTAGGTCTCAAATAAATTTTTTTTTTTGATAACTTGGACAGTCATCGATACAACACATTTTTGTAGGAGGTGTCATTTTTCCATAATATTTTTTTGAAAAAAATCGGCAGAAAAAGTTTGGCCCTTCTCAAATGTTAGTCTAGATAAATTTTGGGAAAACTAAGTATGCAAAGTGGCATATTTAGTCAAGGTTCACACATCCAGAAAGTTTCATTGAAATCTGAGAGGGTGCTGCCAGCTCCGAATACGATTTGGCGCGAAATGCGTCTATTGTGACGACTGGGTTTGGGAAAAACGTTTATTTCATGAAAACAGCGATAACATTATCATTTTTACATTTTTCTTTAGTTTCTTCATGGAAAATTGGAAAAGTATTTATTTCAGTAGATTTGTAGAACTATTTCCTATCGATTGGGGTATTTTGATTTTAATTTCATTTATAAATGACAAAGCTACAAGCGTCCAAAACCTAACACTATTTCACCATACATGTTTCCGATTTGCACCCCAGCATAGTCCACAAAAAAAATGTCCCGAACAGAGGAGAGAAAAAAACTCGGGTAAGCCACGAGTACTTGGCCCAACTTCTACTAGACATAGAATTAAGGGTTTTTTTTAAACCATGGACAATGATTTATCGGCTCCGTAAAGCTAACGCGATTGAGCCTTTTAAATAAACGAACTGAACTAAAAAAAATCAGCTTAAGTAAGTTTTAGTGAGTTTATCAGAGAAATTCATAGTGTTTTTTCTTGTTAGTCATCACAAAATACTCATCTTTTGATGCTAAATCACCAGGAAAATTCTATTTGAATTTGACAAAACTAAAATCTAATCAAAACAACAATTTGTCGCTACGGAATCATCAAATCATGGTCATACAGTTTAAGGTAATGTCATCAGCAATATCACACTTACTTGCAATAGTACATCCGCCCGTCTTTGGCCGTATGGCACGTCCATCCCTCCTTGGGCGTCTCCTGCAGCGATTCCAGATAGCGGCTGACATCCTGAATCGGAGGCGTCGACGATGCACTGGACGAGGAGGTCAGTGATGAGGGCTGCTGACTGGAGAGGAGGTTCACCGGAAGCTGCTGTAGAACTGGCTGAGCTGGTGCTGGCTGTTGCTGAGCCGTTTGCTGATGTGATGGCTGCTGCTGCTGCTGCTGGGATTGCTGGTCAGCACTGAGCGTAGGCCCAGGCTGTAGAAGCATCGTTGCTCACTCAATGGCAACGTGGTGCGGAATCTGCAATGCAATGGAATGAGATAATGTCGGAGATTAGATTTTTTGTGTGTGTGTAAGTAGCCATAAAAGACACTGTTCCAAGAAAAATGCCGAAAAGAAAACTTTCAATAGCAGTGTCACAGAAAATCCCCCGAAAAGCTCCGATGTACAAAATTATGCAAATTTCCTGACACAAGACACAACCACCGTCGTCGTCTAGTTGTAGTCGTTTGTAGCCGGAAAGCATCTTTTGTATCGCCTTTGAGCTTGGTGTCTCGTTTTTTTTTTTATGCTCTGTTGCTTGTACTATCACAAGTCCCAGCTGTCCGAAAGTATTCCTCCGGGAAGCACTGAGAAGAGTTCACTCGGATTCGGTGCCATTGTGGTGTGGTTAAATGTAATCGGATAAAAAAGGCCAAAACTGTCTCCGCAATTCTTGAGCCGGAAGCTGACGGTGCTGTGTTGAGGAAAATTTTCAATCAACAACCGGTGTTGGGCGATATCCCTGACTACAGCATTGACCGAGCTAGGCAGAACAGTACAGTACTTTAACGACCGTTCCTTGCTGGCCCTTGTGTGCCATTGGGGAGCAAGTGTTGCACAGACAGCATCTCTTACGAAATCCACTTTGGAGCTGCAAGGGCAGAGTGTATGAAAAATTCATCCAACTGAACTTCAACAGCCACACCACCGAACCCCGAAGAGCAGATTTCTGCGAAGTCTTGTGATTTGGTGTTGGAATAAAAAAAGCATGATGCAAGTTTGAAACGAGGGAAGGGAAATTCATTTTCCTTGTTTCGATTCGAGCAACAGTGCCTTGCGAAACGGTTGAAGAAAAAAAACCGAACGGAAATTTTCCATCGCCGTGGAACAATCCGATTGGGAAATGTGCATCCGCGGCCGGAGGAGACGAGGAATGCAGCGGACCTGCATTACTGTTGCAACAGATTCGATTTTTTTTCCACCGAGCAGTTCCATGGATTGTGGTGAGGCACAATTTGTCATTGCGGTTCGTTGGGGATTTGATTTCCATGTTCGACGATGTTGCGGGTCCCTTGCAGTCGGAGTAACGAGCTGGTTATGCCGGTTTCCCATGAAGTTCGATATTGGAAAAGAATGTTCGCTTCGATGACAAAGTTCGATTTGCTACAGATCCCCTGGAGAGGAAGTGGAAAACTCCATTAGTGTTGCGAAAGGATCACTCTTTCGACATCATTTTGTATCGAGGTTGGGTTTATTTAGTTAGTTACCTTTATTAAAGAGATATTCAGCCGATGGCTGGTTCATCTCTGGCTTTTAGATGTTACCCAGACAACCAGAATGTACGTATATTTAAAGTTGTTTTCGTGATATACAAACATATATACAAACAAACAAATCGTATAGAATGCAAAAATAGGCCCTATACCTACAAAAGTGGAGGCCATATACGTGCAAATTTTAATTTCTTTTTAAACGAGTTGATTTGAGATTATATACGATTCAATCTGTAATAACAAATTCAATTTGAAAAACCTTACGATGTAATCCGATTTAATTTGTGATACAGTACGATGAAAAAAAGATTCGTCGTAAATAAGTCGGAAATTTGCATTCTATACGATTTAACTTAAACATAATGCGATGTATGTCATACTTATATGCGATGTTGACTGAAACTGTAGTTATTTACGATACTTTACGTACATTGCTATACGACTTCTGGTTGTCTGGGTAGCTATCAAGAGGTGGGTTTTGAAATATCAATCATTTGCTTCCCGTCGGCTTTTTATTTTCTCGACAAAACACAATTTTTAAGGAGCACTTTCATATAAGTTATAGGCCAGGCCTAGGTTGTTTAATAAGATTAAATGGTACAGTACTTCAATTAAGCTTCAATATGATTATTCCATCCAGGCGTCACGCTAATTTATTTTGCAAGATTCCACATTTATTTATTTGGAAGTGGTGAGTAGTACACCTGTCTAAGTAGTGTACAAAATTGTATAAACACCACATCCAATTAATAGTTGTTCAAAAATTCATAAAACTCGGTTTGCAAAGATGGAGTATATATATTAACAGCGACCGCACTGTCATACGACCGGAGGTAAGTGAGGAAATCTCATTTCACAGAAGATGGAATATGTTGTGGTATCCCAGCAACGTCGTCGGGTCGGGTCGGGACAACCTGTTGCGATTAACTGTCGTTGCTGGCTCCGCCGGTTCAAGTTAATCACCCTTTAATTGGCCCAATTTGTCCCGTTGTTAGAGGGGAGCCCATACACACACACTCTGGCTGTTCTCAAAATTGTATCACCCATTGAAATGGGTTCTGCCTGAGTGACTGAAGAGAGAATTACTGTCGTTGAAACAGATTGCAAAGATATTTTGAACAACATTGTTTTCCCAATTGAGTATTTCTATCCTTCAGGCAAAGAAAGGTAAATACATTCCGATGGAAAAATCAGAGCCGAGCAGACTGTCATGGTAAATTTAGACCAGGTTGCTCACTGATTTTAGATGTATGCGCTCCTTCCAAGAGCTTCGAATATCCTTAGTTCAGGTAGAGAGTTTTGAAAGTTTTCGAAGTCCCACACACTTAGAAATACCTAATCTTACACGTGACGAAATTCATCTTTGACATAAAGGATGATACGTAAACAAGCATGTAATGTAAAATTAAGTGCTCTGAGACTGAAAAGTTCGAAAGTACGTTTAACTGAGCTTAATTTGCGTCTATTATGACTCAATTTTATATCAAAATTGACACTCGCATATGTCAGTCTCAGAGCACCTAAATTTATATCAATTTTTCTAAGTGTGAAGATAATAGAAAGAAAAGCTCAATATTTCATTTTTCTAAATCCGGCCTAATTACCCATTCAGCCTAATATCTTTCGTCCCCAAGACCCGTTCGACCAATTGGCATTAGGCCCAATGGCACTACACCTTATCTTGTTTCATCTAGGTTTCATTTCCTGAAAGATTTATGATATTTAATGAGCGACCAACATATGGCAAAACTAAGCTTCATTCGTTAATCCATTGTCATTCGTGTCACAATAGGTTCTTTTAATTAAAATCTCAAAATTCCGACTCTGACAAACAATTTACTATGAACATAAATACTTGATTATAAAACAATATCTTAACACGGTGTCCAACCCGGCTAAATAAGACCCTTCAACACCCTATTTGTAAAGTTGAAGATGCTTAGTGTCAGAATAAGATCCGGTGAATATGGGCCTTCACGCTGGATTTAACGGAAAACGTATTAAAACCATCATGCGACACATCAAATTACTACAGAATTCAAAAATAAGATCAATGCAAGTCGTGTTAAGTGTTCCAGACCACATTGGACACACTTGGACATGTTCCGGGTACCCCGGGGAAGTTGCTTGAATATGAATTGAATTAAAACCCATTAAATCACATTAAAATACGATGATAAGGTGATTGGTAGCCTCACCAAATAGACTACACCCGGATATATTCCGGGTACCCCCAGGCAGTGGCGTAGCGTCACTGGATGACACGGGGGTGGGGGGCTTGGTCACTGATAATGACAATAAAATTAATAAACTTGAATTAGTAAGAAGGGTCTGATCACACCATAGGTGGATAAATTCGGGTTTTTATCTCTTTATTTGTTTCAACTTCAAAATGTATTTCATTTCATTTTAACCTAGGTGTTGCGAACGCGACATTTGCTAATCAAGCAACATCATTAATTATCAAGTAAAGATCAAAGTATGGAAATAATTGTATTTCAGACAAACCATGTTTCCTCGTAAAGTAAAAACAGGTATAAGGATAACGTTTTGCAAAGAAAGTGGAACGATATATTACAAGACTAGTTGTTTACTTAGGTCTATGTCTGCCACGCTCAGGTATAAGCTTAGAATAGAGTTGTAGGATATGAACTGCACGATAGATAAGCGCATGCCAGAAGTTTGTTACGTAAATTAGGAGAGAATGAAGGTGATAAATGTAGAAAGGAATCTAGTTTTTTTTAATGGTGTTTCATTTTCACCTACACACTAGATTAGGGAATTTTTCTATTCGAGGATCATTTTTAGGATAGAATTTTGCTATATAAGGGAAAAGAATTGTAGAATAAAGTTACCAGTTGTAAATAGTAGTTATAAGTAGACTCCTTTTTCCAATTCAAATCAAACCAATCCCACCAAGGTGGTCATACTTTAAAATAGGCCTGATAGGACTAGAAACTGTAAATAATAATTAAAATCTCACTGTACTAAAGTTGAAAAGACGCATCTGTGTCACTTGAAAAATGCATACCGTGCCGATTCAAATTTCGGACACTTAAACTCGAATTTCGGACACTTTTAAAAGTTGATTATCTCGGTCGAATATGATCCACATGTCTTGTAAATTTTAAATTTTTTTGACTAGTGCCCTCCACGATCATCTAACATTATTACTTTGTTTCTAACTGGATGTAATATTTAATTAAAAATGAAAGTGTCCGAAATTTGAATCGTCCGAAATTTGAATCGGAACGGTACATGTAAACCACACAAACACGAGAAATAAAGATCATTTAACTAACTAAGAATAAAGTTACCATTCTCTGCTTGATCGTCAAGCAGTATAGTTCGGCTCTTGCTCGCTCTGACAAGTTGTTCGAAAAGTTCGTGGTGAAGTGTTCGCGCTCTCTCTCTTTCGCGGTGTTTTGTGTGTGTGTGCGTGCCCCGATATGGGGAAGCATCGCTCGCGAAGCCCGGTGAAGGACAAGAACCCCGGTGAAGGAAGTTCGGGTGTACCTACATCCAACAGGTTTGCTGTTCTCCCCATGGATGGGAATATCCAACCAGCTGTGACGGAAAAACGCAGCAAGAAGAGGAAGAAGAATCGGGGTCAGTCCGATGGCACAATTGGTCGCGAGGATGCCTCTGCGACAAACGAAGATTTCGGCGACGCTGCCGAAATAGAAAACGCTGCTGAAAGGTGCGCGGCAAGAGTGAAGCTACCTCCGCTGGTAGTGAAAAATGCCCATCTTAACGAGCTCATCG